CAGGGCAAGGCTGGAACCCCTGCCACTGCCAGAGCCCCGGCTGCTGGCGCTGGGAACCCCTCGCAAAAAAGCAAAGCAAAGCAAAAGCAAAGCAAAGCAAAGCTCAGCTCTCTGGGCTTGTCAGGACAAGCCTAAGGGAAGGGTTTGAATTCTCCCTGCCCCAAGCCGCAGCCTCCTCCAGGGTAGCAAACCCCTCTGCTGTGCTGCATCGCAGCAGCCTGTATTAACCCCCGGTTAATAATAATTTATCGGGAAGATCCTTACTGGTTCCGTGCTGAGCCTCTCCCGCAGCGCTACGCCGCCTGAGTCGCCCTGTGGACCATCCTGCGCTGCGAGCTGATGTCCCTTTCCTCTGCCTGTCCCTGCGTAGCGGATTCAAAGAGGATTAAAAGCAACTCTGGCATCAAAACATCGACTTGAATTTAAGTCTCAGCCTGAGCTGGTAACAACCTGGTTTTGGAGCCAAGGATTTGAGCTGCTCTTCCCAACACAGGCAAGAAGTGTCCAAAGCATTTCTGCCCTGAGCACGTCTGGCCTGGAAAAAACAAAAGAGAATAAAAGGGGCCCAGGCTGCCTCTGCTCTTTCTTTTCACATGCAAATCCGGAGCCCACCCAGAGGAGCTGCTCTACCTTTCCCCCAGGCAAAGGGAGCTCTTACCCCCCTGCACTGGTACCAAACCTGCTCCAAACACAGTGCCAGGGCGGCCACAACCGCACCGTGACCACGGCCACCGCAGTGGCTCAGCCTCTGCCCCCCTCACCTGTCACAGAGGGTCCCAAAGAGACCTGCTGCAAAAGTGGCGTGGGGGTCCCAGCCTGCTGTGGGGGTCCCTGCCTGCTGTGGGGGTGACCACAGGCTCTGCAGCACCTTGGGGACAATGGGCCATAGGGACAGCAGGACCAGCCCCAGCTCTGGCTATGGAAGGAGGGGTCTGGGGGGATGCCAGAGCATCTGCAGCGAGGAGGGGGAGGCTGCTGCCCAGAGATGAGCCCCTCCTCAGAGAGACAGCGCCTGCGCAGGCTGACATCAGCCCCCGAGGACCTGAGATGCTGAGCCTGGCTCTGGGAAGGCGGCTCCTGCCACC